TTAAGGATACGGCGCGAAATTAGCCATGGGTTGAAAGAAAATTACAGAAACAAAACAAGGTAGGGAAAAATACCAACCAAATATGGGGATAATAACTGTTTTGCTTGTTTACTGCACACAGGTATTATAATGTTATTTAATTTGGTGTTTTTATGCGTTTTAAAATGTACACATATGGTTATTTAGGGTTTTTATTTTCAAGTTTCATTATCGCAAGCAGTGTATTTAAGTGAAGATGACCTTAAGGCATAGGTTATGTATTATGTCAAAGCGTTTGGGTAATCCTCAAAATATTTCCCTTCATATTTCATCATGACATTACGCTTTAAACCATTCGATACTTTAATCTTAGTCACTGTTTTTCGTTATCTTCCTCTATTTATGCCTCCTTCATAAATATTGTGAATATCAACCGCTAATGAATAACTACTGGTTGTAAAAATAGCTCAAGATTGAGGTACACTCCTGACTCTAGCAGTATGTACCGTAGTTATTTTACACTGGTATGAACAGTGGTTCATAAATACAAATTTCCTTCAGTTTTAATGTTTTTTTTTCGAAGTTAACAGTATCATTGGAAAAAGCGACCTAGTCAGGTTGTTAGGCATGGTGTACTTAGTATCTAGACTAACGATGTTCACGAACTTCATATAATGAGCAAACACCAGAGGACTACCGATATTACGAAATCTGAACAACGGTTGTATTGATATAACCTGCAGAGCAAAGAAGCAGAGGCGTACAGAGAGTGAAAGCCAACGTGCCATGATCAAATAGATGATCTTGGTCCGGTAAAATAATATAGTACGAATGAGGAAAAGGTACATGTTCAGAGAAGATTGATGCTGTCAGTACGCATATTGCGCTAGCTATAGCGTCACATTGGTACGGTTTAACGTGAATTGAGCCAATATGGAATAACCACCCTGAGATGAAGTCATAGAATACATGCATAGTCCGTAAGACGATTTCGGCCTAACTTCCAGTGGAATACAGTTTGTTCTATAAATTCGAGCTAGTATGAATATCAGTGATATTGTTCTACTCAATGCATGTACAAAAATAGTGTAAACGTACCTAGTCATCTGATGGTTGAGATCTCTAGATGTGATACGCACTTTACATCATCCAGATGCCCCCTAAAGACGGACTAGAACATGCNGTTGTATTCACGTCCCGGACATCATTTACGGTTCTATGCGACCATCTTCTGCCAGAGGATGAGATCGCTTCATGGATGCGTTATCCATGGCTCTTCGAAAGTTAATCCGCAAGACAGAGGAACAGTGTTGCCAATTGCAGTTATATGATTGCGGGTAATCAAAGTGGTTCATATGTCACTCTGGCAGTCGTGTCCTGGAGTCATGAGTCTCAGAGAGAAAGAGAGACTAGTGGCAGAAGGTTCACACGCCATTGATCGCGATAGAATAGGTTTATCATGCTAGTTGACGTCAGCTGATGACAAGGCAGCTATTCTCAATTCACTTGTGAGCGGATCAGTGACTTTATTTTCGGAAGGCCACATGATACCGTATCTGCGCTCCAGTGGCTTTTACAGAGAAATAGGCGAACAGTGTGTCACTCTCCCCCACACCCTGGTAGTGGTAAGTTGGATTAAACCAACAACCTTGCCCAGCTCAAGAGTAAAGCGTTGATATGGAATAGGAGGTTATATCGCACTTTTTGCAACAGCTAGGTTGATGTTCGCCAACTTGGGATATTTGTGACGCTTTCTTGATGTCTGATTGTCTTTAAGCAGATCAAAACACAAGGCCACAGTTTGCAGTCTTGTTTGACGGTCGCAATGCCGGGATTCGCGTCCGTTAGTCTCGGCGGTTTCTGGCAATCGATCATCGCTGTGTTCTTCGAGGCGCGCACGGCGTTCAAAGGTAATAGTATCCATAATCTCAGGTATTGCTAGCCTTTCTCTAACCGCCCCAGTGGCTTCAAGCTCTTCGAGTCACTTCTTCTTCAGTATTCGATCACCTGGCTGGGGGAAAGGCAGCAAGAAAGACACTCAGACGACAGAAACATTTTGATGGTTGTGTAAATAGATGGTAAAATCTCGGACATAATATATACTCCTGCCCAGCATCTTTCGTAACAATCGCTATTTATGATCACTAAGCACGTGCAAAAGCATTGTCACCTAAATTTAGAAGGAAGTTAATAGAAACTTTGCCCTATGTTGGTCCTTCCTGTCTGAATTATTTGTAGACCGAAGGATGGTGAATGTCGTTTGTGATCAACACTGAGGAACAAGCCTAAGAATTGAAACCAGTTGTGTGAATTTTGTAAATATGTGTGTGACAAATCCTTTTCCAACAACGTCACGAACTGCAACAGCCAGGAAATGCTCTTCGGCTCAAATAACAGTGGACATTTTCTCCCCCCCCCCACCCTTCACAATATTATTGTTCCCTCACCTTTAAAATTTATTCTAGTAATGTTCAGAGTAGTTACTTTGAATGCTATTTTTGCTGCGTTCAAAGAATTAGTAGATGATAAATCTACACAGAGAAACTGTAATTATAAAAATGATTCTATGCAGTTAAAAGTAGAGATTGAGAGGAAAAATTCATCTTTTGTACTAATGTATTGATTTTGTCGAGAAATTGGGATAAATGTTATAGGAGCAATATGTTATCTTTCAACCGAAAGTATGATTCAATGTGCTTGGTATAGTGAACCAGGACAATTGTCTGTTCGAAAGAGATTAAAGTAGAATAATTTTGAGGAAAATATGCATAGTTATCAAGAAGCAGCTGCTTTTATCTCTTCTTGAATTGCGGTGTTCTAAGAAAATAGTTAGCAACCTGAACAGTCTTAATTGGGTGGCTTCACAGGTCGCTAATAGGATGACTACAACTTGGTGAATAACTATAAATAAAGGGATATTACTTCATGGAAAAAATGTTCGCGGAGTCAGCGCTGTGGCTCTCACCCCCCCTCCCCCCCGGTAAAGAATATAACAATTGTCCACAGGAATTATTGTAACCTGCGCTAATCTAATCCATCAGTAAATCAGGTTTTGTCTATCACCATGTGGACATTCTTAATAAAAAAAAAACAAAGGACGAGGTGATGCTGAGAATGCTAATTTACGCCACTCACGAAGTTGTCGTATCCTCACATAGGTGAAAGTAGCTTGAAGGAAAAGCGTAGCTATATGGTCGGTCTGTATCACTTTCGGGTCTACCAAATGTGATCGGAAGAAAAAAAGAGTTTACGATCTAGGGTGTGCTACCGAATGAATATACCTCTAGATTTGTCCTTACTCCTATGGACAACATATTTGTACAGATGCAGAGAACAGTTATTGATGACTTGCATGCAGAAGTAAGCCACATCTTATCTTTAATGAACAGAGTTGATCAATTTGAGTCGTTTATTTGCTATCTTTGGATGATCCACCTTTTACTGAACTGATGGTTGTACTTGTTAGCTTAAGAAACAACGTGACTTGTTTGGTTTTGTTGCAGTCTTTCAATACGGAATCAAGTCTGCCAGGCTCAAATATCAACTAATGTACTTTTTCATAATGATATATATATAATGTTTGTCTTAAGTACGTTCATATCCAAACAGTGCGCATTATTTATTTTACTACTAATATGGTGGCGCACCGATGTATACGTGCATTGTTTTGAAAATCCAGAATTTATTGTTGAAAAATTCTATGCCTCCATATCCAGTATATCTTCGACAACTGAATAAGTGCATCCATCATTTGAATTATTATACCATCTTCCACAGTTCTCATATGCAATCTGAAAATATGAAACATCCTTTATTCAGTTTATCAACACAAAACAACATATGCGGACGAAATTGATACCGGTGATCAATTTGACGTGCTCTCATTCACTGTTAAACGCGCACTTATACGATCTTCCCAAACAAATAGGCCTAGAAGGTAAAATGTGCCTGCGGTCGGAGGTAATTCGGAATGATTCAACAACCAGAGTGTACGAACGTGTGCCGAAACACCTTGATCTTCACGCGCGAAAACTAACATCTAGTGCGATTGCCCGTCATTTGTTAAACTCCAGTCATCAGGTAGATGCAACATAAGCATTTCGAATCATTGCGTGAGCTCGAAGTTCACGGACCACGACTTTTTTGAAGCGATAACTATTCATCATCTGAAAACGCAATTATGCGTTCGAAATCATTTGTGTGTAGCAACGGTTGTTACCGTCACGCTTGATGCCACCCTGCCATAATGTGTGACCTGATCTTTCCCCACCTCACCTTCCTCTTCATCATATTCACCACCTTGTTTGAACCAGTTCACTTTTATTACGCACCACCAAATTTTGTCATTTAACTTGACCTTAATCCCTAACTAAACACACACTCACTTGTCCACCAGTGATCGACATTCATAGATTACGTTGGTTGGGGAATGTTTTACACACGTCATCAAATAGGTTGCCACGACGAGCGATGTTCGCCGAGGTAGGTAGCGGTTGGAAGAAAGTCAAGGGTGGTCAAACGAAGACCTGGCATGAGGGTATGAAAACTTTAACCAGGAGACTAAGTCACATAGGCCCCATTGGGCTCCCTGTCTGGGGACCTCGGGATGATGGTCACGGATGGGTAGGGACACTGGGTGATATGGCTGGGTGTCGCAGACAGTGGCACTTGTGCATCCACTCATTATTCCCCTAACACCATTCTATTTGAATTCTCCAATCACCGCTTGAATTTGCTTTCAAAATTCCAATCTTCATTTTGCTCTTTTATCCAAATGGGACACCAAAAGATAGCTGTAAAAAACTGAAAAACTGGAAACTCATTTTAACTCTTATGCTTCTTCGTTTTACATGATCATATCAATGTGCGTTCACAGCTGCATGAGAACATGCGAAAGGGATGGCCAATATCAATTCTGTCCACATGTGTCTTCTTGTGCAGATGCAATCTGAATGTTTTTTTCGAACTCTTCTGATGCATTCATTTTCGAATCATTCTTTATTTTGAACCAGGGAACTCGAATGGTTTGGTCGGCACGATTGCCCTGGGATCCTATCAGTATAGCAGTGCCGTGTTCACTCGGAAACGGGGGACCGAAGACAAATCCCACTATTGGTCAGAACATGCCACCCGGTCTGATTGCATGTCTCACCGCAGATGGATACGTACGATTGGCTTATCTGGGTACAAATCCAACGAGAAAGAGTCCTGTCAAGGTCACCGAAAGGACACAGTCGGATGACAAACATTGCTCACCAAAACTGATACAGACAGAAACAGAAACAGAAGAGCTTAATAAAACAATTACTCTTTTAACACAAGACGGAGCAGACCTTAAATTATTGCCACCGGGGGATAGCAAACCAGTTTGTAAAGTTGAAATGAAAACCAAATTACGTGCCGATTCTCAGTCCGGTGAAAATGCGTATTTTATCGATGTTCTCATCCTCTTTCAGGGCGTGTCGGATTCCAGTGAATTCGATTCGATATTTCTCACCGTGGACAGCTGTTCACCGCTCTCGGTGGAGCCGAACTATGTGAAATTCCCTTTGATTAAAACCTCAACAACCGAGTCCCAATGTTGTTCCTTATCGGTTGGCTTGAAAAAAATGGAAATGTCAACATCTATCCAATTCGTTCTGGATTTGACTGTTCGACTGACTTTGGTTTACACCGGACGGAATAACACACCGATTTTAACAGAACGCACAAAATTTGTGGAAACGTTTGTGAAATTACCGCTTCATTGGTTCTATGCGGCTAGATTATCCAAAAAATCTCACGCATGCGGCTCGTATCGAATCACATTTGATCTGGCTCCTGAATTGGTTGCTTATGAGATGCGATTGCATAAAATCCTGTCCGGTCTTTGCCCACCAGACTTTACGGGCTCAACCTTGTGCATTCATCCCAGAATGGATTTAATTACTCACGAGGAAAGTCACGACCCTAAGCAGACTGGTGATGTTTTCTTGTTGGAGAATCTCAAAAAATCGCAACTCCGATTACAAAGTGACTATCCGGAAATGTTCGGACCAATTATCAACGAGTTGTTGCATGAAATACGTGCATTTTGTCAGCGGTCTGGTTTGGTCAAAACGACCGGTTGTTTGCTACAATTGCATCTGTCCAAATCAGCTGATGTTTCATCCAGTGCAGAAACCCGGACTCCGGATGCAGTTTTATCCTCGCTTGTAATTCGTTCATTCCGTGACTATTTGTTCGCATCCCTGTGTGAGCATTTGGAATCCAGGTTGGCGTTAGCCACACAAGTCGCTGCAAATGCAGTTCAAGCCAGACACTTCAGAGCACTACAAACTCATGTACTGAATAGAATACAGGAACCAATATCGACCTCGATGACTGGGTTTGATACATTGTTGGAAGCGAGTTTACATCAGCTGATCCAAGGTTGTCAGTCCGCAATGAGCTATGCCAGTAAGCAATTCAATTTAGGCTTTACTGTAGTTGCTATGCTCTCTTTGTTGATTCTGATTTTTCGAGAATGTGTACAGCCTCTTAGAAAGGAAAAGTCCGAACGAGATCCCTTGTTTCAAACACTGAGTCCCGGTGTGCTGTTAACTCTGGTTGCAGCTAACGAATCTGTTGAGGTGTCTCGTGGACAGGATGTGTTGCCTGAAACGAAAGAGGATCTGAGTTTTCCCTCCGATTCCGGTGTCTTTGTTGGGTTGGAAGAATACCTAGATCTCGCTGTTGGATCCCTTCTGATTCAAATGAAGAACGAAGATTTCATTGAACGAAAGCCAATTTCAACTGCACTGATACCCGATGTAAATGGTTTAATGCAACGCATACTATGCTTGTTGAAGTCCACGTTGCAATAAACGGCACTGTCAAATACAGTCCTAACAGTCCTGGGTTTTTGTTCATGATCACCCATCATCTGTATCATCCGGTCTTCCCCTATTTCCATTTGCTTCACAGTACACATATTTTATAATGTTTCGATGATTTGCTATTTTTTCTGAACAAGTTAATGTGTATGTTTTTTCACTCCACGCGCGCATGTTATATACTATTTTCAAATGAATGACGTGCAAAATAATAGTTCTCTTTTTGACATAATGATATAATATATGATATAATGTTTTGAGCACAATTGGCTGAATAAATTGAGTAGACATTTGAAAATATATATTTTTAGAGCGTTATCTGACATTCCTGATAGTTGGTCGACTAGACAACTTGTTAGAAGTATATGCTCAAGATAAGCTAAGCGAACGGATCATTGACATTCGTACAGATATTGTAAATGCTAAAATTTAGGTTGACTAAATTTGGGTCTCCGTTCTGTCTGCGTCGTAAATCTGGAATTGATAGACTTCCACTGGTCGTTCTCAGTGGGTTAACTCTAGCTGTCCAAGCTGCAGTTTGGTCAACGGTGTCATTGTTTGAGCACGCTCTCTGGCACCAGGAACATCAAATGTGCATTGCAATCTGCGCAATGGGTTTGCTTATAGTAGCAGTGCAACCTACACCTTTCACTCCTTCCAATATAGTCAGTATAGAAGTTCTCTGAATGATGAATTTTGTGTTCCTTTGCATCCAATCATTTTTGAATGCCTCCGAGAAATGTTGTTCTTCAAAATATCAGTTTTGCTGTGACCTTTTGGCTTTGTTGAACTCTTCTCTGTGAACAAACTACGGATAGCCCGTTCTTTTTTTGGCGGAGGGGGGGGGGCAGAGCAGGGAGGGAGGCATAATCCGTGCAGTGACTTATTACGCCAGAGGTTGTTGGGCATGGCATGACTTCCCGTGAAACATTGTTTCTGATGAATTAGCCAATTGTTCAAAATGCAAAATCAATTGCTGTCTTTACGCATACCGCTTGAACACACTGATGGAAGAATACGCATGGAGACTAATACGACTAATCGGAATTGTGAAATTTACAGATCACTCGCGTATTGGCTTGTTTCAACTTCCAGGTTGAGTCAATAATAACGATGAACTACCGTGATTAGAGGCATAGAAGGATACAGCATGCCCACGAACATAGTGACAGAGCTGTTTAACAAGGAGTCAACGTGCAAACAAAACAAAAACGGAAACGCTGTGTTCTGTTAGAAGCATAATTCTCTCTCGATCTTTTTCTCTCCATTCCACTTTTTAACTTGTTTTTTTTCGTTGCGACTCGTGAATGGTTCTTGTGCCGCAATTTGTCTGAGAGACACAATAAACCCAACTCACTTTCCCAAATTGTTGGTGCAAACGCGACGCCATAGCGACGGCCTGAATAATCTGCACACACCAGGTGCTTATTCGAGAACACATGTTCGAGATTGTGTAGAATTAAACTGCACACACGCACAAAATGAAGTGGTTTATCTGCTGGAAAGAAATAAAGGACAATTCACAGCAGCCCGGTTATATGATCAGTCAAAAATGGATGGCGAGGCGGTACTGTTACCGAATCATCATCATGCACGAATCCGGATCGTATGGAGCACATATTCCGATAAATTCATCTGAAAAATGCCTCGATTGATCTTCTTGTTGCGTCTTCTGTAACAAAGCTACGCGGAGAAATGCAAAGTAGATGTTGTTTGTGATTAAGATTACAATGTCTGTGCCGAAATTCACCGGTCCCTATCAGTTCAATGGTTAATTATTGTTGAAATAATCCCACAGAGCACATTTCAAATAAAACAACAGAGCGGCGAACAAGCTCGTTTTCAGAGATTCGTATTCATGCCAATACATCTCAATATATATCACTA